GCTGACGTTCCTCCTGGCCCTCCTCTGGCTTCTCCCTGCTCCTGAGGACTGCTCTCCTATCGATTGTCATGACTGGGTGTTCATTTCGGTGCATATAACTGTGTATCTCTGTGGGTATTGGTGTTATCTCATTAAAATCTGTTCTCACTTCCATCCATGGGTCTGCTCCCCCTTTTCCCAGTTCCCCTCCGTGGCTGGTGAGGGGCTGTCAGGTGATAGAGCGACTGTTATAGTTTAGCCCCAATACAGGCTAAATGTAGACAACGTATATTTTTGGGTTTATATATTTTAAAGCACAGTTACATTTTCTGGGCATAAAGAAAAATAAAACCTGGTAAAATATCTTCTGAGCTGAAGTGAATAACATTTAATAATAAATGAAAAGAAGACATAACCCCTCCTCACTTTTGCCTTCAGAAAGTTCAGTGCAAGGCTAGGATTGATGGATGTTTCAGTTTTCGGCTGACCAGGGTGACAAGGAGGTTAAGGGCAGACGGGAGAAAATGAGCTTGTGCGCAAAACCCACAGCTGTAAATAACTGCCCATGTCTGACTGCCCTGTGGTTACACACACGTGGCTGCTCCAGTCCTAGGGGCCTCTCTGAAGCTAAGAAAGCAAATACGAGAATTATTCGGCAACCTTGGCTGTATCGGTTGGCTTCTAATCCATTAGGCTGTCTCATATTAGACTGTCTGGGAGAAAATAATGAGAGTCGATATGATCTTGGATGCTGGCCTTCCTAACAATCCAAAAATCTATATTTTAGGGGATGTTAATAACATACCTATTAGCAGCAAGCCCCTGGTGGAATTCATACGTTTACCAGGAGGCTTAATATCATACCGTGGTGTGTAGGTGATTAGGTGAAATAGCATGTTTTTGAAGAAAAGCCGTTCCATAAGAATGTAAAAAGAAGTGACACATTTAATTTATTTTTTTTGATTTAATGGTAGATGCTTCTCTGTGATGCATGGTTGTGCTATATTCAATAACCCTGTCTGTCTGGGAAATGTGGAAAACAAACTGTATCTTGTGCTGAGAGTGACTTTATTCAGCTCAAAAGAGAAGGTCACATCAAGCCTGGGTTTTCTACTTTTTATAACTGGCAAGGAATGTATCATGCAAGCCTGTTTCGGTCAATTAGAAGGGGGTTCATGCTGTGGTGGCAACGCTGGGGCTGCTCGCAGGGATTTCATTCATGGCCAGGGAAGTGGGGCACAGTGGAAATAATAACAGAGTACATGTGGAGACCTCAGTGAGCAGGGTAGGCTGTGTCTGTTTTCTGGGTTAATTCAAAGACATTATTATTTATGTATCTCAATCGATGTATCTCACCATCTTTTGAAGATATTTTGGAATTTCCCATTTTAAAGAATCTTACAGGTTTTCTACAGTTGTTATCATAGTACATAATTTCTTATTCTGCAATTTTTTGTAGATAGGCTGCTAGTATTGTGTGCTGAGTGCTGGTTTTGTACAGCAAGAAACTGCTATTAGCTTGAAAAGTAGAGGACTATATCCTATCAAGGTGAAGGCTTTTATTTTTAGCTGCTGTGTTAGTAAATAGTCTCAGAAATGGGCATGAGGCAAAGTCAAACCTTCAGAAGAATAAAATTATCAGAAAACTAATAAGTAGAAAAAAATACGAAAAAAGTAATTACTCCTGAATTCGTAGTTTTTAAGATAACTAAAATAAAGTGAATATATGAGTTAAAGGGTGTACTAATTGGTGCCTTTAAAACACAGTATTGAAATCAGTAGGAAAACATAAGCAAAGAATTTGGAATTCTGAAACACTGTTTCTTGTAATTAAAAAAACACCCAGGAAGCTAAACGTGGAATCAAAAAGGAGCTGTGAAATTTTGCTTTTGAACGGACAAGACTTAAAGAAGCGCCTGCGGCAGAGACGTGGGGGTGCTCACAGAGCCCACCTCTTGCACGCGGCGTGGGCCAGGCCGGGCGGTGGGGTGGCCACGGGAGCGTGCCCGGCCTGAGCTGAATTTGCGAAACTGCCCGCTGGCACGATGCCCGCGGCCCAGCGGCCCCCCAGGCACCGGGGGTGGCCAGCGCTCGGCGAGGGGTGGCGGAGGACCGGGGGCAGCGAGCCGGGTCCCGCAGCCAGGGCAGGTGCGGGTGAACTCGCAGGCTTTCCCGCCAGCCGCGCGTGTGAGCGGACCGGGGGGAGCAGCACGGGCACACGTCGAGCTCGAGAGGTGTAGAAGTCGGGGTGTGCTTGTGGCCCGTGCCGAGTGTTGTGGGGGGTGCGCGCCCCTAACTCCACAGGCGTGGGTGCGCGTGGTGTGCCATGTGCGACTGGAGCTTTTCGATTCCAGCGAGGGAAGGGTGTTCAGAATGTTGCAGGTTTATTAATGTCTCTTAAGTGTCTAGTACTGTGGTTCGTCTGTTGTATTACTTTTATTGATCCTGTTAATTACATTTTAATAATTAACAAACATCTTCAGTCTTGATTTCATTTAGACTGCATGAACCGAGCCGCTTTCCCCTCTGACAGGAGGCAGATGGTTTTAGAGAACGGTCTTTCAAAATTTATCGAGATACTGTTTGGTGTGAAAAAATGATGACATGGTACTTCAGCCACTAAATGATGAGCAGTCTGAGTCAGGGTATATTTATACGATGAAGTTCTTATTCTCAGATAGCATGTAGTGATCAAGAAAGGAAAACTTAGAAGAGTTGCTATATAGCTGAGGGGCAGCTGACTGAAAAAGTGACAGAGCTTCTCTTGTCAGCATAACAAAACAGAGCATCTTGTAAGATGCATGAGGAACTCTGGTGGGTTTTTTTGTTGTTGTTGGGTGTTTTTTTTTTTCCCTCCTCCCCTGTAGCATGTCTGAACTTGTCTTTCTCTTGTTCATTAAAGAGAAACCCATAAATTTGCCCATTTGTGATACAACTTGATGGGCCTGGTATTTAAAACTAAGGATTAATACTACAAGTGTTTTCTCCAAATATGGTAAGTCGTTCCTGTTGTAGTGATAATTCATATCCCACCAGCAGGTTTCTGCTGTAAACCTCAGCGGTACCTGAGGTCTGTCGGCCTCCTTGCTGGCAGCACGGGCAGTAAGAAGGAAGCAGCCGAGCTGTCAGTGCCCGCCTCTGTCTTGTCATCACAGCCTCCTCATGGCTTGGGAGATCCTTAGGCACAGGAGCTTAATGTGTGAAGTCTCCACCAAAATTCTAGTCAGGTAAGTCTAGTACCTTGCTATTGCAGGCAGCCTTTTTATAAAATTATTAAAATGATTTTAAAAATGGGGAAATGTTGTTTGCACTTTCCTACCCTCACCCTTACTCCAGCTGCAGCTTGTTTCAGAATCTTACTCTTCTGTTAATTTGAAGAACGTCCAGGGACAAGTAAATGGGTGTCGTGTCTCTCTTCTTTTGAGTAGTCAGAACTCAGACCATTGCTTCCAGACACAGGGTGACTGGAACCACTCGTCAGCAAGTCTTCTTGCTTCAGAAAGAACTGTTTGAAAGAACAGGACAAAGCCCCAAAGCAAGCCCTGGCCAAACGGTCCACTTGATAAATCAGCTCACGCTGGTTTGAACTGTTTAAGGCTGCACAGGTAACTAGTGTAGAAATAAATTGTCCCAAGTGTTCCACAAATCAACTGGCTTGCTAAATATCAGTCTTGCGAACACAGCGAACCTGTCGCTGACTGAAGCAGGGGAGTGTGAGATTCGGAAAAAGTGACTGAGGCCAAATTGTCCTCCCCTTCTCATTTAAATCCCTCTGACATTCAGTTCACACTTTGTTCTGTCAAACCTTCAGGCAGTCCTCTAATGCAATGTTGCTTCCAATATTTCATCGGAAGTTAAGAGAATCAAGTGAATGCAATTAAGAAAATGGTAAAACTAATTTCTCATTCCTCTAGAGAAAGGTATCGTGGTTTTCTCCAGTTCTGTCTTTTGGAACTTCGAATGTGTCTACCCAGTCATTACAGCAGACCTATTAAAAACTGGCGGAATCGGGATCACTTATGTTTTCTTCATTTTAAAGCAGCAAGTGTGCTGTCTGTGCTGAAGTGTTATTGTCTTACTAAGACAATGAAATAATTTATTCCAGATGAATATCACAGCATTGTGATGACGTGTTACTACAATATGCAGTTTATCAGTCTAACACTGAAATCATTAGCAATACTGGTTTATAAAGATAATTCCCTCACAGTTTGCCCAAGCCTGATCTTCCATTTGATATAGAAGTTAAAAGAATGACGACTCTTTCCAGACCAAAGCTCAAGATAGTGTTTAACAGCCCACTGACAAAGCAAGGCGAGTTTTCTGTGTGGTTGTAAGCACTTCCAGCTTTGCATTCAGTGCAAGAAACTTTCCTCGCTCCTCCACTAGAATTGGAAACAGCTTCTTCTTGTCTGCTTAAGTGTGAAATGTGTTGATCTAATCGCAGCCTATATTCTTAGCTGCAGAATGAACCTTATAATTGTTTGTGTGGCTATATTAAAATTGATCTTGCACGCTGGGTTTTCTTGCTTGGGAGTGGTGATACCAATATTCTGAAAGGCAGGATCATTTACTTAATGCTTTTGTGGTACGGCAAGTCTGCGAATCCGAAATTAAAAAAATTCTGTTAGTTTCCAGTTGAGACTTTACTTGAGCTCATTTTGTATGTAGGGAAGTAGAACACACACAAATGTCAAGTGAAATGGGAAACGCTTCTGGGCTATGAATTTTCCGTAGCAGTGAGATGGCTGAGAATTAAAACTGGCCTATGCATTCTTTTTTTAAACACTACAAAAAACTCCTTCCCCCCTCTAGCCCGCCTTTTTTTTTTTTTTTTTTGTGGCAGAAGGGAACATATGAGGATGTGGAAATAACTCCTGTGATGGTGGGAAGGCGATTTTTTTTTTTACTGATTGAAAAGTTTTGGTTTATAGCAAACCTCTGCTCTCTAATTCTGTGACATGAGATGGACCAGATGCTAGTGAGAAGGTAGGTCAAATACATCTCCATACTAGCAAATATCAGGAAGTTCAGGAACACTAAGAAAAAAGAAAAAAAGTGGTATTTCTAGGCATTTTTTTCCACCACTAAGAGGCTCAGACAGGGTTACACAGAAAAAGAGTGGGAATTTTAAAAGGATTCGGTCTCTTACCCTGGACATTGAAAGAAGCAGCTGCCTACATTAGAAAATCCCAACCATAACTGATTGTAGTAATTGGAAAATCAAACCTCTGAGTGTTTATTCATCCTAAATTGAACTGTAGAGTCTGGCTGTTTATGGCTTGATTCATCCCTTGTAACAGTTTTGTGCCGTGGACTCTTGTAAGTCTGTGATTTCTTGTATTTATTTATATTAAGGAAGAAGTTGAGAATGAAGTGACCATTGAAAAAGAAAGTAGGTGTACTAGCCCTGTAGGCTGGAAAGTCTGTGGGGCAGAATACATCTAGAAAGCTGCTCCAAAGTGAGCAAATACCAGGACAAGGTTGTGATAGAGCAATTGGGAGCTGTTTTGAAGACAGCTAGGAATAGGTAGTTGATAGTCCCAGTCTCTGATGCAAAAGAATATTGGTAGCTGCTATATATACCAAGTGAGTGTATGATTTATAGAAGGACTTGCAAGCGAAATAAAATCATAACATTCTCTCGAAGTGTTCATAAGCATCATTATTCTATTTATTGTAGCTAATAAATAGGGGGAAATGAAGCGAGTATTTCTTTTTCAGTGGTTGCACAAATGACTTTCAAGTGTTTTACTACTTGTGCTTTTCTGCTTATGGTCAAATTTGTCATAACATTGTAACGTGAGGGAATGAAGAATTAGTTCTTACTTAGTGGGTGTATGTCCGTTGTCCTGCATAATACAAATCCAGGAAGCACTACAGTCCAGTTATTAGGGCTTGCTGACATGAAGCCTCTGGATTCTTCTGCCTCCATGCAATGACTTGCTGTGTAATCTTTGGGAAAGTCATTTATCCTTCTGGGCTGCTTGTTCCTTCCTCTACAAAATGGGGATGTATATATATCTATTGCACAATTTTGTACTAAATGATATTTGTCAAGTTCTTCAAATCCCAAAGGGAAGGATGCTTTGGAAGTACAAGTGCCGCTGCAATCAAAGTAATCTTATGCCTGCACTAATACCTCTTCTGTCACTGATATAACAGCATTTCTTTGGATATAGAGAATATTCTGCTTTTGAATTTATAACAAAAAATGTCACTGTAAAATGTTGTTTAGATTCTACATTATAAACAGATGTAGCTACAAATTAATCCAATCTGTGTCTCCTGCAATTATTTCTTCATATTTCATAAGCAACATTTGGCAGAATATTGGCTTCTATGTATGCTACCCATATAATTTTTTTCCAATTTCATAAACACATTATGACAAGAACAGGAGGGTCCCAAGCATACTGTGCAACCTGCATTCTCTTACAAATGCACATGCCTTACATGACTGCCAGCAAAGGACCCATACATGCATAAGCATATGTGAATTTGTGGTGTGTGCGATCCTATGCACTCTATTCCTACGTGTTTAATTGCATTCACTCTAATTTTAAAGTATTGTGGACAAATTTCTCAGCAGCTTCAGCTTGATTTTGCTCTTATTGCAAAGAGAAGAAGCAAGTTTCAGTTATCACAACTGCTCTGGTAATCATTAAACCTCAGTGAAAGGAAACCAACTGCTTACTGTATGTTAATGAGGGTTGAAAGGGTTGCCAGTGCAGATGGAAGATCCCTTTTAAGTGGCCAGGACAATATAAATAATGTATTATACTGCTGAAAAACACCTGCTAGGGAGAAGAATGGAAAATAGCTATTACACACGCCGGTTAGATAATTATATTGTGAAATGCGGCAAAATCTGTGAAGATTCAAGCCAGATCCTGTGGCACTTTGGGGCCGATCTGCCTTCTGCTGCCACAGGCTTCTGGCCATCCGATTGGCACGGGCAGTCACAGCTGGATCACCTCCAGCGCGGTGGAAGTGGCTGGGGAGAAGGTGTAGCCATGAAAGCGGTTTTTCCTTTATGCTTGCTGATCTAAACACGCAGCACCAGCTTTCAAGAGTCACTCACAGGGAGCCTAACTGAAGCTGTTTTTACTTTAGAAGGCACACAGAGGTAGGCCAGAAATAGAGCCAGCCCATTAGGAGGCGAGCATAAAAGTCATTTAAGCATCTAAGACCAGGGAATAATGCCAATAAGGATGAATAAATCTGTAGAGCTTGAGAAGGCCAAACCGTTTTTAATAATGGATGTGCTTAACAATCCATTTCATACAAAAATTCTCTCTCTATTGTAAATATACATAATTTTAATAATTTTTTTCTTTACATTAGTACATCATGAGAAATAGAACGTGTTACAAGAACTCAGGATAGATAGGAGGGGAAATGTGGATGAAAAATAGGGGAATAACCCCTGTGAATACAGATAGTCATTCTGATGTATAAAACTTATTTTATACTGTAGTCACTTCACTAGTCAATGTTACAAGAATATGCTGTGAAAGCAAAGAAAAACACGATACTCATTAAAGATAAGTTGATGATCTTTTGGTGTCTAACAAACTTACTAGAACACTCACTAGCAGAAAATACTGCCTATTTATATGAATTTTCTTGCTTGCTGCGGTATTGCAATGCAGCCATTTTCTCCTGACTGCCTCCTGTCAATGCAGTAATGTGCTATTATGTGTGTGTACTGAGGGGAAAATAGGATCATTAGAAATTTCTGTTTGTAGAAGTCTTTCATGTATTTTAGCCCATCATCACTGTGTTATTGCTAGTGTAAAACAAAGAAATTGAAAAGAAATAATTTAGAAGGCTAACCTAACCTAGAGTTTTCTCGTTCCATTGCCTCACAAAAATAAAGAGGCACTGCTTATCAATTTAATAACATATTTCATGTCATGCATTTAGAAGTAAACATTCACACTTGATAACTGAGATATTGATCCCAGGACTGCACCTTGGAATTTCTAGTTTATTCATGTTCAGTGTTAACCTACAAAGTATTGATTTCTCATAGAGGGGCTGGATTGTTGGCTGTAGCAATCCAAATGGCAATAGTGATCCATTCAGGAGTCTCAGAAAGCATGGATAGGGCAGGGGGGAGACTGCACTGGGGTTGTAAAGCAGGTAGGTACTAATTATCCCTCTTTGGGTAACGGAGGTTGAGGAAGACACTTGACTATGCTTCTTCAGGCTTTCACTTTTGGTAGCTGACACTGAGCTAGTGCTGATTTTTGGAGATGCTCAACATTTGACTTTTTCTAACTAAAGCCAGCATGTGAGCAACCAAGGTGGAGGCTGCCTGATGTAAATCCAGTGCAGGGCTCGCAACGGACTGTTGCTTTGCTTCCCTCCTTCGAAAATCATACTTTGTTCGCTTAAACTAGGTGTAATGGTTAATTATGTCGCATCGCAAACTGGAGAATGGCACATCTCTCTTAACGCTAATATTACAGATCTGAAGACATCACAGTCAAGAGTGGCCTCTCAGGCATCACAGCAAGGTGACAGGGCTATGATGTGGATGTTGCGAAACTGATCCCAGTCTACTTCCCACGAAATCTTTTTTCACACTGACATCCCAAAGATGACCCCAGTCTCAATGCCTAGCTGAGCTTTTTTGAAATAATATTTGTAGCTCTCCAACCAGTTGTAAATCTCTTAGATTTTCAAGTTGCTGTCTCTTATCATTTTCCATCTTAATTCCTTCTGCATACAGTAGGGCAGATCATTATACACTGGTGCAAACAGAACGGTATGACTGACCTTGGACTGAGTTACTCTTGATTTTTATTAGGGTAGCACAGATCAGAATGTAATGCTGTCTTTCATCAAAGCAAAAACTCTTCATCTTTCTATACAGACAACTAAAAATATAGAGCTGAGGGACCAAATTTGCCATAAAATTGTTAACTTACTGAGCTTTTTCATGCAGTCTCGAAGCCTGGTTTCTAAACTGAGTACACGCTGGTGTAGTTCCTCATAGTCATAAGCACCAATTTCTTCCTGAATCCCAGTGAGGACAGTAGACAGATTCCTAATTTCCTCCTTGAACTGGGTGATTAATTTGGCATCAGTTTTGTATTGTTCCAGAACTGGGATCAGTGGCAGGAGCTCATCCATCTTTTCTTTCAACTCCTGTTAAAGGCAATCAAATGTGCGTTAGAGCAGTTTAAAGGAGTTCAATCCCCTAATTCCCATTAATGTAATATTTATGCCTGATTATTAAAATGACTTGAAAATGATTATTGATTTTACTTACAGAGCTGTTATTAGTGTATTGTGAAACTTGGAAACCTCAGACTTAATGTTCATAAGCAGTAGGTAAAATGCACGAGAGAATAGTTTTTCTGCTGACAGTACACAATTAGCTTCAAGTGATCTGATCCCAACCTGCTGAAGGTCTGACTTTCCTTCCAGAGGATACAACCCCCCACTAAGTGCGTCTGTCTTGAGAGAAGGTGATTAGGCCTGAACAGACAGCGATGTTCAAGGAGGCCATACCTGTTCTACAGTGCTGTCATAGTTGGTGAGCTCTTAATTTCTATTTCGCTCCTTAGAAATACTGAATTCATTTTCTTTCTCAGTGGCTGTTGAACACTGTTTAGTTCTGTTCCAGCCACAGTGATACGCACCTGTTTCTTCTGAAGTAAAAAATCCATGGTTCTTAACTGTGCTTTGTATTTGTCACCCTGCTACATCACTAGGTGCCTTTGAACTTCCTCAGCTGATCTCTTTTCTGGACTATCACAAGTCTGTTTTTTTGCCATGTGCAGTTGTTGTTGTGTTGCCAATCATATTCTTATAAACATTGACTAAATAAAATAAGGCTCCACTTTGGAGTCTTGGATCACCCCTTTCTCAGACTTTTGCCAAGTCTCATACTTTGAGAATTTGTCTCGGTTTGTAACCTATATCGGCTGCTTATCTTTCACTTCTTAATTGTCCTTGGAACTGCACTAATCATAAGGGCTTTATTAATTTTAAACTAGTTGTTTGAGGTTGTCTTTTGTTTGGTGGTTATTCTGCTGAAAACCTTAAAGAATCCTTGCTGTCAAAAGGTTTTGCTTTATAGAAAAGCAGACATGTTTGCCCCTATGTATCATCTGTATATACAGATTTGTATATCTTGTTACAATTTGAGGGAACAGCAGGACTCCCATAAGCAAATGCAAGAGAGACATGAGGAGATGCAAGCCTGGACAAAACAAGGCAAAGGATGGAAATAAAGATTTGTTGGGTACCAGCATTAGGTGGTCATAGAGGTTGGGAACAGATGAGGACACACAGGGAGAGGCTATTGAAAGGGTTAAAAAGTCAAGTCCTGAGGAATAGCTGGGGTACTCAGCAGGTTATAAGGGAATGCACAAGAGAACTAAATGGAAGCCAAGCACAAGAAAGAGGTGCAGAAGCAAACGTGGTTAGAGGTCAGTGTAGTCACTGAGGAGTGCGAAGACACCCACGTACCGCTAGTTACATCACTGGTACTAAAGGATGCAATAAACAGGGTAGGGCATTTCCAAAATAAATAACATGATGATGCCAAACGCATTTTTGCTAAGGAGATGTGAACGAAGCCGATAGGCAGGGTCAGCATTTTTGCTGCTTGAAGATCCACCTCTGAATTTTTGCCTCTCCAACATGTTCTAAGACAGCTTCAGAGTTCTGCGGGATCTCTTCATCACCTAGCTAATACATCCATATTGTTTACTCAAAACAAAGACTTACATGTGTTGTTAAGAAGTATATTTTGCACACAGGTCACCTTAATAGCTAGAAAATTGCATTTTAAATTATAAGCAGGTAAGTCATTATAAATGGATTTGAGAGTACCAGGAGTTCTGTTGGTTCTACTCTCAAGGGGGCTGCCAATTACGTTATAGTAGCAGAATTACTGAAATGGACAGAAAGAAGTGGAGAGTCTGTTTGTCTACGGTTAAAACTGATTTTATTTGACTGTTTTTATTAAAAAAATAACTTGAGCCTACTTTGTGCCTGTTAAAATGAATAGTTATTTTTTCCTTAATGACAGGGAGAGTAGGCTTGGTGACATAGAAAGCAGAGCTCCAGAAGCCAAAGTTTTTCTCACTTCATTTTGAGGCTACAAACTTACGCTTTCGTTCTGCGGGGCAGTGAACTGCCAAAAATCATGGGTAAACCATGATGGGAAAAAAAAAGCAAAGCTTGTAAAAACTCAGGAAGATAAAATGCATTTAAGAGAATTAGTGAAGGCAACTTATTCCTGACAGGATTTATGCCAGATGAGGTATCATTTGAGCAAATTGCTGTAACTTTTTGTGGCGATCAGGTATCTCCTGCCTGCCATAAATGCGGATTGACTGAAGTATGATGCCACGCTCAAGCGTGATCTGGATCAAGTTTGTACTCTTTGGTTCTCGTCAACATGGAGCCACAGTGTTAGAATATCTCATTTCAGTAAATGGTATAAAGATGGTTTTGGTATTTTCATGATAAAGAAATGCTGTCACTCCTAGCTTGTGGCTGTGATGAGCGGTACAAGAACTAATTTGTATTGCAACACGGATAGGTGGTAGACACATTCTGGCACTTTGTGCCTGCTGATACGAAGGGTTATGCTGTATCCAGAATGAGTTTCTTTGTCTCAGAAAAGATAAAGCACTGGAACTTTAGTAGATCAAATTTCAGAAGGCCAGCAGCATATTGTGTTATGTTGACCTTTTAAATTACTCTATAACTTGATTGCCTGGAAATCTGTTATATACTCCTGGCAAACTGTCAAACTGAAGTTAAATGACTGGCCAATAAAATACCAAATATGTAAAAGGTTAGAGTACTGCAGAAATCTGCTACCTTTGACATCAGGTATCAGACATTTGAATTTTGGTATTTTGTTCCCAAGGAAAACTATAATGAGATTACAGCATATACATGGCGTTATACAAACGTGTTGTTACTATAGCGGCGAGTGATGAAGGAAAAAAGATGGAGAAGTTTCCTACTACCTGAAAACAGCTGGAAGCAGTATGTGCTCAAACTAAACTAAGAATGATGACGTAAAGAACAAAATTTGGTAGTTGGATCATTATTGTGCTCATTAAGTCCCACTGAATATTCAGCGTTTCTGAAAAACATTAGACCCCTTAGCTATGTAACTGTTTAAGTATCTAACTTTAGCACCAATAAGAAAATTAAGTCCATTTTATGTGAACTTTCATAAACACTTTAAAATACATGTTTAGTTAACATAATGTTATCCTCAGAATGTATTTTCTAGATGCTATTTCGCTGTCTTGCAGTCTTGCAATATCAGTTTATCAGACTTGATATTTAAAGAATTTAAACATGCTCTTGTAACGTTATTTCCTTAAGAGTACTTCAGATAGCTTTTTCAGAATATACAATGCTATTTCGTAATCTCTGCAACTCTCCTTCCTCACAAAAACATTGGCTTGTGGGTTTTGTTGTCATTAAAATTCCTTTGAAGTCTTTTTTTAATCACACAAATGTGACTGGGAATGATTGCCCTCCTCCCCATCCCAAACTCGAAAGAGCAAACCTTCAGACATGAAATTAGATCTTAATTGTACTGGATAAAAATTACAATAACCTGATTTATTATAGGCTTTCTTCCCTTCAACTGCAGTAAATGTCAGGCAAGAGTAAAAGTGCAGAACTCTCTAGTTGTTTGCTGTTAATTCCATTGGATCTCCCCATTTATCACTGGAGCTTGAACAAACATAAATTTCTCAATATGACATGCACATTGATACAGAAAAGACAGGAATCTGTTTATAGTGACATTTCTCTAATGACTTAATAATTAATAGTTACTCCCTGTTACAATTAAATTGAACAGAGCAAAAGATTATCATCATAAAGGAAGATTTATTATGCTTTACTTTTTAATGCTGCTCTTGTATGAGCATTTCAAGCTGAGATCTTAGCAGTCCATGCATTGCTTAGTACATTGCTTCCAGCAGGCTTTCAAAGTTATTGTTAAAATAAAACCTACTTGAAAATGCTTTGTCATCGATCATCTTCAATTTGCCGAAACTTGGCCTTCAGCCCTTTCATTTGTGTTTCCATTTTTAAAACATACTGGAAATCCCTCTGAGTCCGTAGATTTAAAACTTCAATAGATTGGGACATATTCTGAACCTGTTAAAGAAGAACACTCTCTAAATGCACTTTTTGTTGCTTTATTTTTTTTTCCTGGTTAGGTAGTTAAATGTCAGGCAATAAAATGTGCTGATGTCAATGCTTTAGTTGTGAGTCATTTATACCACAGTATAGTTTTAAACTCCATAACTGCGTGACAGTACAAAAATTGGGGAACAGGGCTAACAGAGGAGCAAGACCTTGAAGCTCTAAGTGATTTGGAGTAACCTCTTTGAGGTAAAGAGAGAGAGATCCTTTCAGCAACATCACCAATGGGCTCAAAAAAGGCTGTTGGGCAGTGGTGTCTACTTTGACACTTGCAGTAGATCCTGTCTGTCCTTCAGGATGTGCTACATAGCACTTGTTTCCTCCCAAGGACTTTGGGAGGGACAGGACTGAGATCTGGAGATTTTGGATAATATGAAGAGCATGATTTTTATTGCCAGTAGGCTTTTGTATAATAATTCAGTATAAGGAATTCGTAACACTATCCAGAGATAAGCTGGGGTGTGCCTATCATCAAATAGGTGTTTGCTCATGATTTTCTAAGTAGATATAAAATTAGAAATTTTATCCAGTTGTCTTATTGGTAGAAAACCACATTTTTTTTTTTTTTACAGATGAGAAGTAGTGAATGTTCAGGTAACTTTTGTAGAACAAGTGACTTTGTAGCTATAGTGAGCACTTTTACCACAATGAGGCAAGAATAACTGTTATCTAGAGTAAATTATACGTATTTTTAAAAGTGACTGTTATAAAATCAATGCTTTTGCCAGTCATAAAAATGACACATTTTGCAAGGCAGTTATTCTATTTCAGTAAGTGTTTTGTTTTCCCAAAACATGAAAAAAGTAGACTGCTTTGAATGTATTAGACACCATATTGAAGTTTTGGCTCAAGCAAAAAAAAAAAAACCAACCCAAACCCCTTCCTAATAAAAGACAAACCTGGCAATATTCCTGTTGTTTGCAAGAATGTGCAATGTTTGAACCGATATTAATGTTTGAAACTAATATATTGTGACCTACAGAATGTGTGGATTCAGGAAATGCTCTTGAAAATAGTATACATTATTTGTTGCACAGTCGCCCTTACCAATTCTTAGGAAGTAATTTTAATGAAAACCAGTAAGGTTTATTTTTTCTCTGCTTTCTGATTGTTGAAAGCAGGCAAATAAAGTCCTTCAGGTCTTGGAAGAACTTTGAGTGTTTTCATTTGGCAGAAGATTCATTCACATAGAGGCTCTAATTAAACAACTGTGCACGGACTTAAGAGAAGAAATAATAGGACATTACATACCCATAATTACCACAGTTCTAATCATAAGAAAATACCTTTTAGAGACTGATGATTTAGGTTCTTTTCTGTGGCAGCTCAAAAACTATATTGAGATCTTAACACCCCTCCAGCCCCCACCCCAAAAAGGAAGTCAGATTTTTTTACATTAATATTTCGGTATTTGGAGCAAAGACCCTGGGGACTGAAGTCCTCCTCTGTTAGTAAATGGACAGTGTGAGGGGAGGTAGCTCCTCCTCTGTGTGCTGCTTCATCAGTGCCCTCTCCCTGCATCCCACGCTACGGGCTCTGTCACAACCTGAAACTACGTCCCTGCTGAGGAAGGATAATCTGTGGGAATTTGGCACAGTGTTAGCACTGGAGTGATTTTTCTATAGCTAGAAAAATACTGAAAATTGTATGTTAAAAAATGTAATCTTAAGGCTACATTTTACATTGCTTTCTGCTGCTGTTCAACCCCTCTCTCAGGCCTCAGGTTCTGTACCACTAGTTGTGATACAGTAGCTGTAACCTTGGTTACTTACACAGGGAATGCAGAGCAATAGTTCGTGTTTTCACGGGTGCAGCGTTTTGGCCATGGTTGATGCAAAATAACTTCACTGTTTGTTCTATATATGCCATAGTGGATAATACTGGAAACAAGAATTGGTTTGTTTGGAGAATGAATAAATAGTATTATTTGAGGAAAGAACAAATGAAAGAAAATTAGAACTCTTCCTCTTCTGTACAGTCTGCTTTGCAGATGCTGTCATGTCTGTATCTTGTTATTTGTTGATAAGAGACAAGAAATGACCTTCAAGCGTCTCATATGATTGAAGCAGAAGCTGTAGTTTAAATCCCACAGCAACTAGCCAGTTTGAGGTGGGATTTGTAACTGTTTTTACACAGAAAAATCAGTCCTGTCTGTGTGTAAGAATAATTTTGGGAGGAGTGAACAAGAGAGAAGATGCAACTTCGCTTTGCTAGATAAATGGCTTGGGTTGGGAAAGGTGTGATCTAAGGAAAATAGACAAATAATGATCTGTGGTTAGAATACAGGTGGAGGATACACTCTGAAGAAATATTTTTATTAGATAATTCTTCAGTACTCCATTATGTATTAAACTTAGAGGGAAGGGAGTGGATTTCGGTGAGAAGTTTAGTGATTAAAAGGAGGAATTAGTTGGCAAGACTTACCTTCTCTAGCAGCTGTCTGAGCTGCCTGCTTTTGGCATCTCTTGAACATAGGTTTTGTTCAGGTGCAACCACAGTGCAAATGCAACGGCCATCAGGATCCTGGGCTGAGCTATAAACTTGCCACCCTTCCTTGGGGCTAATCTGAGTCTGTAACAACAAAATAATAAACATAAAGGGAACTGAACTGAATTTTTTGGTGTGGTTTGAAAAACCACTACCTCAGATTATTTTTGTTTATTTTTGCAGTGTGTGTTTCCAAGGAGGTTCCTCCTAGTCAACACTTACTTCTCTCTTAACTAATTAGATTGGTGGTTTTGCACAGTCTTGTCATATCTTGCACCCTGGTAATAGCTCTCTAGAAGAGTTGAGCACGCATTGTTTCCAGAGTGGACGAGAACACTTTTCTGCTTGTGATTCAGCACAAACTAGTCAATTTAATTCTTTGCAAAGGGATGTTACAGTTTTTCATCAACAGAGACCAAACATGTCCTTTCAGCCTGAATGACTTTTACTTTAGACTAATGGAAACACCAAAGACAGAAAAGAACAAATATAAAAGCCCAAAGAGAGAGCACGGTGTACGTGACTCAGGCGCTGGGAACAGGCTCAGAGGCAGGTCGGGATGCGGGCTAGCAGGTTTGCTCTTAAAGATGCAGCACAGCGAAAACTGTTCTCTCTGGACACATACACCGAAGGGAAGAGAGCCTTGCTGCAGGGGAGCAGTGAAGGCTACTTTAGGTGAATGGGGTCATGGCAAGCGTGGCACAGTCCAGTTAAGACATTGCATGTCCTTCACTGGGACAGAAAAATCCTGCAAATTCCTAACCTGTTCTTTTTTACAGCAACCACAACCAAGAACGAAAAACAAAAAAAATCACGTTTTCTTGAAGAGCAGGCTGATGCTGCACTGCTTCTAAAGTTGGTGTGATACCTTGTGGGACTAGGTATCTGTCTTTTTAGTGGGATGTACAGAAATACACAGCATAAGAATGAGAGAAAGCAGTATAATTAATGATTGAAAATTAATCCAGGTGATGGAATTAAAACTAATGAACATAAGACTTTTTTTACTTTCTTTTTAAACTGTAATTTAAAGTTAATATTATGCATTATTCTTTCTTAACAATATAGTATTGACTGCTGAATTTCATAGCACAGATGCTAATGGATGCCATTGAAGTAATTTTGGTCTGGCCAGAGTTGGAATCAATTCCTAGTTATATTATAAAACTGTACTCCGTGTCAGCACACAGAGTGATTATTTAAACTGGCAAGCTTTGATATCGATGCTTTACTGGCAGCTTAGCGCAGAGTAAGTTGCAGAGCTCCTCACCTCAGAAGAGGCGCAATATCTCTGTGGACTGAGGTTAGAAAAGAGCACAGATTTTTCACAATGACTCTTCTTCAGAAGTCATTGAAGATAGCAGTGAGCTCTTCTACTGCAGAGCTAACTGAAAAATCAAAATTGTATTGTTTCCCTGTTTTACAAGGGAAAAAAAAAGTGTCATAATGTAGGTGACTAAAAAGAGGATTGCTGAACTTGCCTCAGGGTTTGCTAGAAAGGCGTATCCAGAATTCAGTGCTAAATCATATCGCCTCTATGGTGTTCTCTTCACCTTAATTTTTAGGGTGAAGGGAATCTAGTTTAAGACATAGAGAATAATAAAAACTAGACAAAATTACACCTGCAGAGATGATTTAAATTGGTTTTGAGCAGCTACTAAAATTGTGAGCTTGAACAAGTGATGCCTATCAAGGCTGGTAGCCCTGGCAAAGCGTAAGCTCTATTCACTTCAGTAGTTTCCATGATTCTCTGCAGAACTTATGCCCAGACAGTGCTGTCATGCACGAGCAAGGCAACAGAATTTTTGCTGAAGTTCAGGAACTTGTTCAGGAACCTACAGCTTGTGATTATAATTCCTTAAGGACAGAAAAACTTAATATGAGTTTATGAAAAACTGTGATATTTGAGCCTTATGCCTGCTCCATTTAGATTGGTAGCAAGTGGGTTTACTGCATTCAAGTTAGTGTTCTACAGCAGAGAATGTTTGAGATGCCAGGATCATGCACAGTCCGTAATAAAGCCGTTATAAACCAGGCTGTGTTACCAAAGGTACTTCTACATTCTAGTGATGTCATGAGTGTCTCTCTCTGCTTTATCTAAGGAAAAAAAACTCCTTTATTGATTAACTTAGCAGATATTTTCTTATGGTATCTAACATCCAGCTTGACTTTAAAAAGTAACTGCTATTTGGGAGACTATATCTCACAGTGAGAGACTGTCAGGCCCAATACAAGCGCATGGTGTTGGTAATCGGTCATTGCATAAATGAGCGCTCACATAGTCCTCCTACAATGTAGGCTACAGCTCTTTGTGGTACTCGGTGGTTCCCTGTATTTGGGCCGTTAGGGTTCCTGCATTACTGAGGACGGGCAATGTGATCACAGAGAAAAACAAGCATGTGGGTGTAGGTGCACTTTGCTTTTTTTTCTTTTTTCTCTGTTATTTTTTCAGTTTGACATTTAATGCCTACCTCAAGCAGAAGCTGCTGTGCCATGCAGGGACAGAGCTAGAACCAAAACCTTACAGAAGCTACTGAATCTACTCTTCAAATGCAGGCTTACTGCTAACAGGCCTTCCTAAACAAACAAGAAAAGAAATAACAAGTGGAGAACAGCAATGATAATAGATTATGCTATTCTTGAAAATCTGGGGAAACAGAGGAGTCCCTACAAAGACCAGTATTATCCATTGCCTTGGCAGGCTGCTGTGCCACAGACTCACTTCAATTACCTCCAAAAGATTTATTTTTTCACTTGCACTTTTATATATTCTAATAAAACTGGTATAGTTGCCTCTGTTGCTACTAGTGACAGGGCAAACAGCAGTACATATACTTAATACGGTTGCTTAAATATAAACAGTATTTTTCAGCTTGTCTTGCAATTTCAATCCTGGGACTGGAACAGAGCTCCAAAGAGGAGGCAGTTTCCCCAACCCCACCTCCTCGTACAATTCTTCCAGCTGAGGGGAGGAAATTGAGAGGTTTTTTTTTTTTTCCCCCTGGTACAATATACACAGTTCATGAACTGTGTGTATGCTAGGAGAGAACTGGAGAAGTGCAAGTGCTGCACTGTTCACTGGACAAGCTGCCAGTGGACAATCTTGATGGCAGTTAAGAACCGGGCAGTGATGACCTCAGTATTACTGAACACCTGGGGCATAAGGTCTCTCAGCAACATCTAAAGTTTACAGAAAGGTGGCAGATTGGGGTGCTTGGTTTTACGCGAAAAGGACCCCACACGTTTGAAGCTGGTTTTTTTATTATTATTTTTTTCCACTTGGCAGATGTTGCCGAGCTCAGATAGTAAGATTTTTATGATTGTCTCCCCAGCTCTAGTGGCACCCCTGCCACCCCTCTTGAAACACAACATATACATAAAACTCCAGCTCACTGACTGCAAAGTGCATTACTGAAATAATCCTTAGGGGACATTTATATCAGCAGTGCTCTGTTGCAGCCAAGGGAAGCATGACAGTTTACACTACTTGGAATCTGAACATGTTAATATATATAAACACATACGTGTGTGTGTGTGTATAAAAAGATATATATGTGTGTGTAATAACAACTAGTGTGCATCTCGTAGTTACTCAGTTGCAACCTAGGCTTGCACTTAAACGTGAGAGGGACCATTATCACTTGTAATGTCATATTGCCACAAGAACTAGCAATATAGGCTGTAGTTCAATGAGCACAGGTTACATTTAAAGAAAATAAAGAGAGCTTTTCCTTGTCTTCTCACCTTCTTGCTGCTCTAAAGCACAACAATTATTTCTTACATCATTTAATTAATTTTAAAGTTGTAATATTTAAAGTCTGAATGCAGTGATTTTCTGCAGTAATGTTTTTCCCACATGTATATATTCAATTAATTAATTGTTGATTAGTAAAAGCATCATATTGAGTTACAACTAAAAAACGAGAAGTTCTGAGCATAGTAAACTACTGTACAAATAGTTAAATTCACATTTTACATAACATACTATTATGTAAACATCTGATTGCAGTTACACAAAAAGATGAGAGAAGAGTGTTTTACTAAACATTTAGAAAATGGTGTTCTAGTTTTATTTATGAATACCAGTACAGTGTTCCCTCTTGCCCAACTGAAGTATTACTTTAATTTTCAGGCTTCTCATGAGTCATTAATCACAGCTGTTCTGTAGGTCTTCATTAACACAGGCTGCTGTATATAAGCATCAATGATACAAAGTGATATTTGTGCCACTTGTATTATTCCCATATTAGCCTTTCTAAAATTCTGGTACCCAGCCTCCTAGTACCAAATTTGTTTTGTTTCTAACAGCTATTTATTTGTTTAACTGTACTCTGATAAAGAAAAATAGGAGAGAATCAGACCCTTTGCATGTCGTAGTGAATAGCTAATATACAAAATTATTCAGACAAAAAGAAACCTACAGCCACATCTTTTTTTCTTAGTAATGCAATACATTTTTCTGGAACAGTAAGTATAGGAAAAAAAGTCTAGACAAATGAAATGACATTGCTGTACTATTTTTAGCATTTCACGCTCAAGTTGAAGGCATTTGTTCTTAAATATTTAAGGATGCTATTTTAAAATATTTCCTTTCATAATAAGACTACAACATGCTTACCAATGTGCAGTTTTATGATGCCCAAAGAGAAGCATGCATTAAGTGATGATAGGAACATTAGTAGCTTAAAGAGATTTACATAGAGGCAGCAAACTAAAGCTTTTGCTGGCACTTACACACTACTTCAGCATGAAGATGGCTTGCAACACATCACAGCTACTTACTAGAGTATCTGAAGTGGTTATTCTGGTGGTATTTAGTCCTACCAGAGATGGGAGAGTTTGGGACATCCAGTTAGAGATCATTGCCATGGTACTAAGAACAGCACCAAGCTTCAGCAGTGGAGGACTCATTGCTGTGGAGCTAATGAGTTTTCATAGTGACTGATTATCATCCCCAGTGCAGGCTGGCAGTGAGAGGCGTGACTGCAGCACTCAACATCCACAGCATGAAAGGAGATCAAGCTACCCAGATCTAATCATCCATTAAAGACACTCGTATTCTTGTTTGCCCTCTGTCTTTCTGCTCTTACTAACAAATACTTACGACTACCTTATGCTGACCACTAAATAAGCAGTCCTTTCTATGCTAATAATCATTGCAGTTACCAGTGGGAGATGGAATGGGTGAATGACCTCCTTATAGCTGCTAGAGAGTCAATTAGCACTAGTTCAGTCCTTGCAGAGTGGTATGTGTTCCTGTCTGAAATGCAAAAGCCCAATCACAAACCCAAGCACAAAAAACCCCCCACTCCCCATCGCTGCCTTGGCAGATGTGTGCTCACGCCTATTTCTAAAGATGATACTATGCTTGTCCAGGGGGATGGGGGAGCCTGTCAGCCTGCCCATGAAAACACCAGAAACCTTTCTGAACCTTCCTTGATTTGTTCATCTCACAGAAGTTACAAACATCAGTGACTTTAGGATTCGCACAGCTTGTTATTAAGATATTTGCTTAATATCTGTTGTTCATAGAAGAACATTGAAGCAGTAAAGATTCACATTTCTCAGTGTTCTTGTTAGTTCACAACTTTTTATACCGAGAGCTACTGTATCACATCCCGGGCTGGCAGACTCAGTATGTCTTCATTGCCGTTTGGATGGGAACAGAAGACAAATTGTGGGTGGCTCATGTAGCGTTTTGAGGCTTCTTTTGGCTCTATTCTGCTGTTAAATCTACTGTTCTCTAGTGCTGTAGAACGATCTCCAGGTTCAGTAGCAATTTATCTTATTCATGAATTTAGCAACTGTAGGGGAAAAAAAAACCCATCAGAAAAAAAGAGTGTAGAAATCATTGTGCCGTTGGGGTTGTTTTACTTTTTTTTAGAATTATTTTAAAAAGAAGAAATGCTGAGCAAAGACTTCCAAGAGCATTTGTTTTTTAGAGAGAACTTGCTTAAAAGTTTGTAGAGTTAGACTACTGTATTTTTGCCAGAGGCAGTTATGGACTTTGTTTCTGCATTTGCTTCCAAAAGACTATAATTTTCTTAAGGAATTTTGTTGGTTTGTATGAAGAAAACCTGCAGTGAAACTGAAGGGATGGGATGTATTTTTATAGGACTGTGTGATCATGAATGCGTTTATTGAAGTTACTAAACCCCTGCAAAAGGTTTTTGAGATTCTCGGAGCTCATACACCAAATCCAGGCTAGACTTTTCTGTTCCAACATTCATGCAGAATTATTTCAATAAATCTCTGCAGTTTAATAAAGACACATGGAAAATTAATTTTTTTAAAAGAAATTGAAAAAACACTGAGAGCCATTATACAATCTTATAAAAAGTCTTCTAGCAACAGAATACAGAGAGAAATTCTGTGTGTCCAAGTATCAAATCTTTTCTGGGAGTTACACAGTAAGGTGAGCTGTGAAATGTTTCAAATACTCAAAAATCCCAATTCACTGAAGAGATACATTTAAAAACAGTGAAAGAATATGCTTATATATTATAAAAAAAAGCTTAGACAGCTTCTGCACAGAAAAATGAGGTTTTTGCTAGTTTCTCTGTATTTATATACACATTGCAGAAAAAGGCCTAAATAGGAAAATGACAATCAATTAAATACTAAACACCTTGTAGTTCTATTTACCTGTACCATGTTGAATGCACACACTTGTTTGCATGCAGTTTGGCTTATTTCACATACTTTGTCTAACAGATACCAAAACTCCTGGGACAAAATAACACACAAGGGCTGTTTTCTCCAGAGAACTCAAAATATCAACAGATAATTGATGGCCCTGATGTCTGAACAAGAAAACACACTTTTTTTTGGAACTCAGGGAAAAAAAAAAAAAAATCCCAGTAAAAAAGATGCTGCACTGGATCAGTCTCCTTGATCCACTTAACTCCTTTCTCTAGCGATGGCCAGCAGTGGATGATTAAAAGAGGAATGTAAGAAGAGAACAGACATACAGTAATACTTTTCTTGGTGTAACCTTCCTGCAAACTGTGGTACTTACTGGGCCAGAGGTTGTAACTTCATGCTCGACAGTCTTTCATGCTGCTTTCTTCCATGAATTTCTCAAGAAACTTTTTAACTCATCTGTATTTTTAGGAGGCACAACATCCACTGGCATGGAGTTCCACAGCTTAATTATGTCTTGTGTGAAAAAAATACTTACTAGAAGTCACGATTAGACTGCAAATTTGAGAAATGCTCAATCCAAATCTGTAGTTTTCCATTGAAAAACCTTTTTTTGAAAATTGTGACCTTCATCTGCATTCAACAACCAGAATTGCTTTTAGCTGCTTAACAGAAAAATCCCTTCATCAATGCACTTGGATACCGTGGTAATCAAGGCCATGAAACAACGCAGTTTTGTTGAATCTCTTTAATGGTGTTGATATCTTTCGTGAGCCCGCGGTGACTCTGCTTTCTGTTGTTCCGTTGACTCCAAAGGAGTCAACAGCAGCATTAGGTTTCATAAATCAGCGCTTGTAGTGGTGTCTGTGCTTACTCTCTGCGGTGTGTGCTTGGACCTTGGCCTCCTGTTGTCTGGTGTAAGCAACTGGCTCCAGCCAAGCGTCTGGGTTTCCTTACTGTGAAAAACAGAGCAGGGATGGCTGGTAAGTGCCATGTTTCAGGCCAGTATGGGGTTGTTGGTGGTACAGGGACGTGCTCTTCGATGCAGAGCTTCAGAAGCACTCCTGCACTTCACAGTTCTGCAATGGCAGCTGATTACTCAGCATATTTCCTCTATTTCAGAAGATAAATTTCATAACAGCTTGGATTGTGTGATGGTGGCCATTACGTATGTTTCTCCGAAGACAGAGACCCTGTGGGAAGACACCCTTTGATATGGTGTCTTGAGGCTGAGAGGTCAGTCAGGCATTACCTCAACATGACGAAGAGCACAGCAAGTGGGGGTGTTTGAGTCTTTGAAACAGAGTTCGTGTTTCTGTGGAGATAGGCTCAAAGTTGTCCACTGAACAGATGTGCATATTGAACCAGCCAGAATGATACCAGAGTCAGGCTTTTTGCTGAAATGTTGCACTTCATTGTTAATTTATCAATCTTCTGAGTAGCTGCATTGGTTAGTTCCAATATGGGATAGATTACATTTGGCAATGTTGCATAACTTTCTAGTTTTACTGGGTTCTTCTGAAGTACCTCAGCACTCTCTCTAAACCTAACACAAAAAAGATTGTCATTCACCAGTTTTATCACCTTTTTTGTTCCTATCCTCTTTCAGAAGTTTTATAAGCATATTAATTCCCCAAGTACCAAGACATTTCCTTAAAGTAATGATAGATTTTATTTTTTTTTTACCACATTGAGCTGCAGCTGTTAGTATTTTTGGTTTTCTTCTCTTGAACATTTTCTGTTCCAGAAAAGAACATAACTGGTCCCTCCTGACTGTTTTAACCTTGGACAAAGTACATTCAAAAGACAATAAAAGGCTTTTCTGAAGTCCAGGTGAATAATTACTACCAATTATCCTTAATCCAGTGTATTGCCAACTACTGCAAAGAAAGCTGTTTGGTTGGTTATTATGATTATTCCTAACAGCTGATATGCGGCTTGGTTCTTGTGATACAGTATTCATTAAAGTAGTTTAGAACTTTATTTTCTTCCAACTAGTTTAGCTGTTAAAGAGAAAACCTGCTGACGTGATTCATGGTATCGCTGCTAGATACATCTTTAAAGAGCCCAGCAGGAGATAATCCTCTAGCACTCTGGGCTGGTTATAGAATTTAAAATTACCACGTAGCTGGTATCTGGTTGGCATCCCCATGGTGCCGAAATTGGATCCCCTATAACTGCACAAGGGCCTTAAAGCACATTTGCTCTGCACTGCAGGGATGACGGCAGGTTGTAGAGGTATATGTGAGTCTTGTAACGCGGCCCTAGCCCCGGGACTAACAGTAGTGCCGCTGACGCTGGAAAGCTGCAATACTGATCTTCTAGGACTGTAAGTATGTGGCAGCTGTGTCCCATGCTGCTGCAAATTTAATGCTGAACTTGGGTTTGTTTACGTCGGCTACACCCTTCCCCCAGACAGGGACATGTTCACTGTTACTGTTATTATATATGAAGTTGGAGGCTCTTCTAGTCTCTGATATTTACTTTCACCTTGAGATCCTGTTACATTCTGATTTACATTCATTTAAAAAATGTATGTCCATACATTAGTCATGTTGCTGGGCGCTATTTAGTCACATGAGGTTAATGCATGTATAAAGCACAGTTCTCAGAATCTGAATAGCAATTAAAACTTGTAGAGCTGCAGGTGGACTGAGAAAGTACATCTTTGCACTTTTTGTTCAATTTCAACTCTCTGAATTTAGAAAACATTAGCTTCTTATCTAACTCTATGTTTTTGTTCAACAAAAACCTCTGGCTTTGCAGTGCTACGTATGAGTAGTGATATCCAGGTTCTTTGTAAGAGCAGATTGAGAAGTAGATGCCCTTTCTAGAGAATACCCTTTCACCAGCTCATCTGTGCACACACAGTGACATTCTTCAGCCGGGCATCTCCACTGATGGGAAAAGTATCAAGCAGGGAATTTTCAAAGTCTGTTGTCCTTTACGTGCTTCTATACCAATGCTGTTGAGGTGACATGCTTTCTGAAGTGGTCTTAGCTCTCCGCTTGTTCATTTTTTCAGGCTTTGGGGAGCTTCCTTTGAATGAAGGCAGGCGTTGTTCTTAGAGAGCATTTTCATGGTTTTTTTTTTCCCCACCTTTTGTCTTGTATTCTGTTAGCAATTCCCAAGTGTACAGACTGACAAAGTAGTGTGTCTGCAGCGGGCCTAGTTAATGATAAGAGTTGCCTGAAACTAGAAGCAGGCTGGGCAGTGTGGTTTAGGAAAGTCTGAAGTTAATTGTAAGAGCTGGGGTAAAAAAAAAAAAC